TGGTTCATTAACATGTACATTCTTCCGTCCCCCTCTTTGTGGTTTAAAATATCAAGTTAGTAAAATACTGTTTACTATTAAAAAAAAGACCTAAGGGGGGGGGGGTCATCACCTCTGTTAATTTTTAACACATTTAGTTAGGAAGTTACGGGATGCGAAGATCTACCTGCAACTCAACTGCTTGTTCCACGTCTTAAAAATGAAATTTCATCTGTATTTAGCACCTTAATTGCTGGGATAGGGTTGTGTTTGATTTTTTAAAAATTTTAAAATATTAAAAAAATAAATCCAGTCTGTTTAAGCCTTTTTTTCTTAAACTTGAGGAAAAGAGGGGGAGGATACTTGGTTAGTTAACTTTCTATATATTTTCCTATTTTTTTTAAATACATGAAATCTAGTTTTTATTTTCTTAACCCAAATTCCTCTCCCTCAAATGATTAGTTTTCTGAACTCTGGCGAGCAAGAACATTTATGTCATTTTCTCATTTAACAAAAAGAATTGGAAACTTTTTCCATACAAGCGTGCAGCACATCAGCTGTCTTCAGAGCTCAGCTGGGCTTCAAAAGGAAATAGTACTTACTTTCAAGCTGAATTGGGGGTTTTCAATGTTCCCAACTCAGCTCCTTGAGAAAATACTGTTCAGTATCAAAGCAGCCCAGTTGCCTACGAATGAGATCATGGAGTTTGGAGAAATAGCAGGTGGAAAGGAGAACCCACACAATCCTGTTAGCAACATCTGGGTAACGGGAAAATATACCACACTAAATACAAACAAAACCAAAAAAACCTCAACAGAAAACCCTGCAACACTGGCCCTAATCACTTCTGAGCTAGGACCCCTTGGTTTTGTATCTTAAGGTTTACTAAGTTCTATGTTGCAAGAATTAGCTATTACCATCTGAAGAATAATTGTGTTTAAATTCCTGTATGTTCTCTTCTTGTAATTACTAGAGTTATGATCTACATAACCAAATGAGCTCAGCATTACTAAATTATAATCCATTTAAAACTTTCAAAATAAAAGCCTTCACTTGCTAAGGATTTTTATACGAAAGACCTGTTATCCCTCCCACCCCTTACTTTATGTTCCTCTGAATGGCCTTTCAGAATATTTATCCACTAGCTTAAGGAAAAGCATCACTGTAACAGAGATATTAAAACAAATGTTCTAACAAGGGCATCATTGCTGGGGACTGGGTTATGTTTTTGTTGAGACAAGTCTGTTAGCCAGCCTGTTATTTCTGGCAATTTATTATTCAAAATGTCAACCAAAATTAAATTATCATCTTCACTGTTGAACTTAAAAAAAACCCACAAAAACAAACCAATCCCAATGAATGTATACCTGTGACAGAAGTTTACAGTGTTCCAACAGACTTGCAGCTTCTCTTTTAAAAGTCACTAAGATACCATCCAGAAAGTATCAGTAAGCACTTCAATGAGAAGGCCATCTTTTACTCTTCCTTAAAGTTACTCCACATAGCAGACAAACCCTACCATGTCATACCATACAAACAAGTTTAATTGTGTAGTTACAGTCAATAACCACTCCTAATCAGAACATTTCTGCATAAAGAAAACTGTGATACACTTATAAAAACAGCCAGCTGTAACAAAATAGCTGGTGTTTTCATAGCCATAAACTCATAAAAAAGAAATACACCTTTATACAGAAATTTTATACAGATGTAGCTTTAAAATTGATTGTAAACCAAAGGAAGACACATTGCAAACATCAATTATTTTCACATTAATTGCATAATCTTCTAAGGTGATCTATTAGTTTTATTTACCTAAGCTTATTTGCATGATAGTAAAAATTGCATACAACAGTAAGAGTGAAGCTTATAGTATGAATTGCTGGGATAACATAGAGCACTTTTTATAGGCAACTGGGTAAAGCACATTTTCTCTATTTAAAACTTTTAAGACACTTTGTTTTACTGCCCATCAAAATACATTTATAAATAAAAAAAA